CTGTCTTGGCCAAATCATGTTGGTATCTTGCAGTTAGTCTTTTTATGACAAGACTCCCTGTTTGTGCCTCCATCCCTCCACTACACTACTGCACAGCAAAGAGATATTGTCTGTCGAGACACAAAAAGGGATTTTTCTACTAAAAATCAAATAGCTGTGGTAGATGCTTCAGCATAGAGGGACATGTGAGTACAGTTTTGAAACAGACTCTTTCTCTTTTTTTTGATTGATTTAAAAACACAAGAATATTCAATTTAAAATCATATAAAACAATGCTCACATATGAGAATTTGGAAACTCAAACTGACAGACTTTTGAATAGCAAATATATTTCTATATATACAGTATATTTTATTCTAAATTAAAGGCTCCTTTAACAGTTGCAGCCATAGACTGTACAGTATATAAAGGTGGATGAAGGCTCCATGACGTCATCCATCGGTTTGTGAAGAGCAGTTTTGAAGCTCAGAGTGGGCTGCTGCGCCGTCGTCTTCATGGCAGTGCCTGACTCCGCCTAACTCCTGGCTAAACCAAAAATGGGCAAAGAGGTGGGGCGCGTGTGGAGCCGAGACTTGCCAGTTTATGGCAAGCATACGCTCACCCACCAAAACTGCTTCCTGTAAACATATTTATTTCTGCTATTTCTGTTGGTCATTTGAACATGGGAGTCTATGTCTGTTATAATATATAATAAGGGAAGACAGTTTGTTGCACCATCATCAATTATATTGTTTTATGTAACTTTGCACACAGTACATCTGCCATATTGCGATGCATGTAAAAGAAAAAATCTTATCAATATTGCTGAGACACACTAAAGTTCTTTGTGTATTTGTTCAGGCAGCAGATCTAAGCAGCGAGTAGTTCCTCAGGGCAAAATGTGGTGTCATAAACTCTGCAGGACCTCTGTGTTGGCACTGCGTGAGCCCACCTGTGTAAAGCTCAGCAGCCACATCAAAGAAATCTCCCTGCTGTAAGACTTCAAATGTACTTTTTTTTTTTTTTTAATCAATGCTTTCAGTGTGCCACATGTTACATTCACCACCCGTAAGTACACATGCTGGAGGCAGACAGGCACACCACAGCTGAAGGCATTGCTGACATTCTTTTGGCCAGAAGGATTTTAAAGGTTCAGTCCACATACAGGAATTACACACCCTACAGTGACAAATTTCCCTGCTTGTTTGTGTTTGTTTTACTGGAGTGAGGTCTTTTTTCTCATTTGTTTGACTGAGGTCTCTATTCAAAGATAAGATTATATGGCAATTAGGCAATAGCTTAAAATATATGTTTTATGTTTTTTTTTATGCAGCTTCAGATTTTGCATATAATTGATGTCGTGCCTCAGAGTTAAGAGTTAATTGCAGACAGAGTTGGTCACACATATGGAAGGTTGTGTCAGTTATTAAACATTAAAGCGACAAATAAACGTCTGTCTTAATGCTAAACTAAGCTAATCAGGCTGTAGCTGCAGAGTTAGCATACACACAGATCACGGTATCAATCAAAATACAGAATCACTTCTTTAATTTGTAATATTTTAATTGACAGCGCAGAGACCAAATATAAAATTAAAAGAAAATGAAAAAAAATAAAATAAAATACAGTACCATTCAAAAGTTTGGACGCACTTTCTCATTCAAGTGAATGGGAAGGTTGTGTTGAAACTTTTGACGGGACTGGTATATTTATATTTTCATAACAAAGCCTCGAGTCTGCGGTGTGTGTTATCTATAAACACTGACAGTCCAGTAGAAAAGTCACATTGATGCGGTGCATTAAATCTAGATGTCGTCTGTAAGACTGTTACAGATCCAGCAGGATTACTGTAAAGCTGCCCACCACACAGCCGGAGAGAGAGAGGATTATTTGAAGTTCAGCACTTTTGAGGTGAGCTGCACAGCAGAGTCTGTGTGTGTCCACACTGGGGGGGGGGTGAACCAGTCCTGGTGCAAGTGTGTGTTCTAAACTCATTCACCCCTGCCAGGCTGACTGCTGCAGACGATTTGCCTCTTGTGGTATCTTAAGCCTGAAGGGAAGAGTCTCTATAGTCCCTATTTCTGTGACAGCTGGTGGAACTGCAGCTCTACTTCTATGGATCAACTAATTGTTGCTTCTAGTAGAAGTTGCACATGGACAATTGTTTATCTCTATAATTATGATAGTAATGTGAATAGACTTAACTTTTTGCATTGTGATTACATTTTGGGCTAAATGCAATGTCACTGTAGTTTGTGAGCAAACAATTTGACAAGAAGAGTGAAAGAACAGAAGAAAAAAAGAAGCCCGAGTATGATTTAATAACATTTTTTCAGTGCTGTGAAGTTACTGGTTTCCATTCGTGCCGCTTTCATAACACTAGTACAACCAGGGGCTGAACAATAGTGCAGTAAAACAGAAAACACTTAGCCTTGTTAATTTCTTTTACAACCAGTTACGCCTCTTGTGCCCCCCTCCAATTGTAAGAGCTCTGTAGTAGCTGCTGGCGTCACGGTGTCTCTGCATATGTCAGTGAGTGGACTCCAGCCCTCCTGTGACGCAGCTCTCCCTTTCCTGTGTCCACTCATGCCTGGCCAGTGCAGCTGAGGGTTTAGAAATTACAGCTGTGTTGATAACAGAGCCACACCATGAAGTGCTAAGTTCCCTGGAACAGTGAGCGCAAAGGTCAAAAAGGCTGGGAAAACAGATTGTTTATACAGTGTTAAAATTAAATTGAACATGAGCATGCACTCCTTAGGAAAGCCAATGTTCTGCTATGCTTTCCGTTTCCTTGGCTCCTGGCCGGTGTGTGTAGCTTCTATTTTTAAAGTCTCCACCCCATATTTAATCATTTACACTGCAGAGGGCGAGTGGCGATGCTGCTTCCTGTGGAGGAAGCGGAAGGGAGTAGGTGGGAGAATTAGAGGGATGCATAGTCTTGTCTCCTGTCTGTTGTCAGTTCTGTAGTTTCATCACCCTTCCATGTCAGTGTGTCCCCCTCTTTTGTGATATCCTGCACCAAAACACAGAGCAAACATTTCCTACACCACATGTCAGAGATTATTTCTGTCTGTCCCACAGAGCCACTGTCTGGTGTCTTTTCTTCATTTGCTCCAGGAACAAGAGCTGCAGTTGTTGGAAAGACTGTGAAATTCTCAATTATTGCTCAACAACATATGCACTCTGTTCTACTATAAACTTGAATACATGGTGTTCTGTTCTTGCAGTAGAAGATGTTCCTCTTCCCTCTGTCTTCTAAGAAATTATGTTTGTGCAGAACGGAAAAGAAGCACCACCTCTTTTGCTCAAAGGCTGCTTCCCCTTTGAGCTCTGCACTGCAGTTGGTCAGGGTGAAAGGAAGAAAATTACAACTGTGCAGCCTCTCCTTCAAGTAATTCAGAAAGTGACGTAATGAGCTGGTAAAAGTAAACCATTGTATCCTGGAAGCAGGAATTGTGAAACAGGATTCCGTTAGGTTGGGCCACGGCTCTTACGCACATTGAGTCAATTCCAGATTAGGTCAACTGTCACTTCTGAGAAGTTGCACAGCTCGATGGATGGAACATGAAGTAACATCTTAGTACGTACACTTTATAATTTCTGCCATATTGTGCGAAGCTGCTCATGCAATTACATTCAGTGCTGCAACCAAAGATGCAGCTTTGATCTTTTTTATATTTTTTTTATGTTTATCTTTTAATTTCATGCTAGCGTCATGGCCCCAGGGGTGACTGTTGATCTGTCCCTCTCTGTCGGTCTGTTGGTCAGTCCACGACTTTGATCTAAACTGAAATATCTCAGCGAATATCTGTTAGACTTTGGTGATTCTCTGACTTCTCCTGTCACCAGCAGGTCAAAGTCATCACATATGATGTGAAATATCTCAGCGTCTAATAGATAAATCCTGTTGACTTTGGTGATCACCTGAGTTTTCCACAACTTGCTGACTCTGCCTTCCCTGTTCTTTATGTTTGGTGATAATTAGCAAATATTAGCATGCTAACACGCTAGGCTAAGACGATCACAATGGTAAATGTTGCATACTAAGCTGTTGTTGTAATGAGCATGCTATTCGGCTGACGTTAGCATTTAACCTAAAACACCACAGGTACAGTCTCATAGAGCTGCTAGCATGGCTGTAGCATGCTTAGCCTTGTTGTAGTTCTAGGTTTTATGGAAATATACCGTGGATAAGTCCAGTGATTCTAACCCTATGCCTTAACAAACAAGTGGTGATGTCAGTATGAGCAGCAGCTATTTCTCAATAAAATTCCCAGCAAATCCTTGGAAAAGCCGAAGAATACATGGGTTATTTACAACTACGTGCCTGTTTCGACTGAATGTACCACACCCACAGCAAATTGGTTTTCACTAGAAGTTGCAGTCATGACACTGTCAGTGTTATTCTCCATACAGGATAAAAATAATTTTGTGCTGCTCATTTTATTGGCCTGGAAGGATTCGACGAGGTCAATCATATGCTTATCATAATTTTAAGCTTCATTACGAATGGCAAATTTATTGCTCTCTGTATGACGAAGTTGGTCTTCATCTCCTTATTTTCAGCGTTGACTTTACTGTTCCAACTAGCTCCCTCACAACTTGTCACTCATAAATATCTGCATTATATATTCCATTACTTACCTAGTCATAGATATCGTATGCATACTAACCTTGGCCAAACAGGTGCTATGGATGTTTTAAATGGGAGGAATTGCAAACAGCTTTCAAGATAGATAAATAAGGTAATTAGTTACTAGTTACTATATAATACCAATAACAACATCAAATCTAAGTGAACTTCCTATAAAGTCAATAGCAGCTTCTGCAGTATAGTATTTTTAGCAGCAGCTTGACCTTTATGTTGCTTCTTTAATCCCTCAGGAACAGCTTGTTGCCAGGCAGCATGTGAATAGATTTATTACACTGTGACTTTGTTGGGTTCCTTTGTGCAAATACCCACTGTATATCTACACTAATTAATGTACATAAAGTGAGTGCATTTTTTTTTCCTTACACAGATTTAAGCACAGCTGTCCAAAAACTGCAATGTCATCAAAAATGCAGAGCTCCAGCAGCATCGCTCAGGCCAGGCGGACAGTGCAGCAGCTGAGGATAGAGGCCAGCATCGAGAGGATAAAGGTGTGTTTATATTCGTAGTCATTCACCCCGAGTGGTCTAAATGTAAGTCAAGCTAGATGAGTGTGTAGATTGATTTCTTTGCAGGTGTCCAAGGCTTCATCGGACCTAATGCGTTACTGTGGAGAACATGCCAAGAATGACCCGCTGCTCATGGGCATCCCCGCTTCAGAAAACCCTTTCAAGGACAAGAAGCCTTGCACTGTTTTGTAGGGGAACACCTGAATTCTTGCTGCTTTTCATTTTGATGCTTATGAGGGGAAAAAAAGCTGATAGTAATACTGTTCACAACCTGCCTTAAGGCCAGTGCACCCCCATACTTTTTCCACATGCCTGCTGCAGTTTGATAAGGAATATATTTCTCTCTGCCTTTCAGCCAGATCACAGTTACACCAAAGAACAGGCACAAATCTGAAGCTCTGGCCTCGGCTCAAAGGTTTAGCTCAAGCAAGTTTGATCAAAAGTTCGTACGGAGGCTCAGTGGCAACTTTTTTTTTTTTTCTCTGTGTAGTGCTTTCTTACAAGATCTAGAAAGCCACAGACCTCAGCCTGAAAGGAACTGTGCCATTGAGGGAGAGTTCCTGACTCTCTAATTATCACAGCAGGCATAAACAAGCCCCCTCAATGATTGGTCCAATCAGATCTAGGCTTTCAGCTTTCACCTCTTACTTTCATCAGGCTTGCTTCAGGAAATGGTTGTTGTAGTTTGTGTGCTACTGATAATGAGCGCTCGAGATAATGATGTCCTGTCGCAAGACGACTAAACTGTGCTGTCCATTACAGGAGGACAAATTACTGTTGCAGCATCTAGTCACAGTCAGAAATACTAGTCGTCAAAAATTAGATATTAAATTGTTCCCAGCTCTTTCTAAAAACATGTATAAATTAACATTTCCAAAGTTAAAACATTGATTGGATTTTCACTTTTGAGATTGACTTTTGGATATAGTAGTATGGTATTATACAATATATAGTAGTAGTCTTGCAGTGCAGTGTAGTGCAGTGCAGCTGCATTCTGGAAATGCATCCTAGTTATGCAACAGACCACCACTCATTTCAACTGAATCCAGTGCAAAGTCATTATATATGATGTCTGAAAGTGATGATTAATTTTTCTAATTCTCAGAACATTTTGTCATGCATTTGCCTTAGAAATGAATGTACAACATTTGACCTTTGAGTACACCCATCTGTTAATATGAGACACACGTAATGTTTGCATAAGGTAGTGCTTATTCATTAAAAATGTGGAAACAAATATTGCAGCCATTATTCCTGAGGAAAATTGTTCACGACCAATCTGTGCCATCTCATCAGTGTCTCTATCAGACTTCTGGTGTCTCACCACAAACTTGGCTTGGCTTATTACCGTTTACTATTACTCATTACTATTCAGGCACTTTGAAACCTGTAGACACCAGATGACTGTTATACTCGTGAGTTTGAAACATTCCATGTTTACAGTTGCTCTAAAGCTTACTTTGACTTTACTATGAGTATGTTAGACCGGCAGTATATAGCTGTAACTTTTCATGTGTGTGTTAGTGCTCATGCAAAGCGTAAGCAACTAATTTTGCAATTGTACCAGCCAGGGCCTTAATAATGAAGTAATCCTGCTTCAACCTCTTGACTACTTTTTAGTCACACAAGTGCTGTTGTCTAATACTGTGAATGAAAAAGGTCCTTTAGGTGAAGGAAGTGTATCTTACAATAGGCTATGAACCCTGTGTATGACATCCTATTTCAAAATGACACAATGTCCAGTAATGATTTGTATTAAGGTTTCTCTCATACGTCCATAAGTATAGTAGTAGAGTATGTATGTCCATGTATCACAGTATGTGCTTGCTTGTAACTGTTTGATGTACGTGATTCAGTTGAACCTCAACTTGAAATTTCGACGTTAATTCAACTTTTTGAATTAAAACCGAATGTGTTGTTTTAGATAACAATGTATTTGATTGATTTTTCTAGTGAGTGTGAATTTGTGTTTTTATTAGAAAAACACAGTTACAACGTTTGTGGTTTCTCACACATGGTGAGTATGGTAACAACATACTCTATGTCATGTTTGTGGTTTTACCTGTTTGTGGTAAACTCAAATAAATCTATGGTTAAGTTTAAATAAGTCTTTTTTTCAACTAATGTAAGAATTTTTTTTTTTTTAATTCACCTTACATGCACATTATGGGAGGTCTTAGTTGCTTAACTAGAATATTCGATTTGTTTGAATTTAGTGAACTAAGACTGTGCTGAACTGATGCATTAGTCTTTATGTGAAGTAACACCTTTAATCAGCTTAAAGCATCATTTATATGACTATAAAGCTGCTTTAATCATTATTGTGGCATTAACAATGGGTCAAATGACTATAAGCACTGTGAAAGGGTCACTCACAGTCACAAATCCACAGAGAATTATCGACCAACTTTGCAGTAGCCTTCATCTCTGCAGAACATTTTATCAACTTTCAGCTCGTTGTTTTGTTTTAAAGCCCTGAATGTCACTTTCCCTCCGTCTCTCAGTTCTGGTCAATCTTGTTTCCGGCTCTATGAAATCCCCTGTACACACTACCTGCCTGGCACCAAACAGCAGCTAAAGATCCAGATATTTGAGGATCTTATGGAGACTAAAACAGAGCTAAAAGAAAAGTGAAACACACAAACAGGACTCCACTGGATGATTCGGCAATTCATGGCTGGAATACTGCGATCGGCCTGATTGGTTTACTGTATATCAACTTTGTAAGGTGATAACATATCAGTGTTGTATTTACAGCTTGTTTTGCTGCCGAGCAGCCAACAAAATCAAATAATATTGCTTTAAAATGTCACTATTTATTGTGTTTGGATTAGTCCTTGAGGCTTGTCTTCCCCTAAGTGAGAAGAGTAGGTACTCAGCCAATTACTTGCAAATGCATCCAATCTTTTTTTGATTGTAGTTTGTTGCACATGAACATGAGCCCCTTGGGTTATGCTGTAGCTATAAATTGTGAAAGTGTAGACTTTGGTCTTTTGGTCATCAACAAGTGAAAAGCATCCCTTTTAGAGAAGGTACACTGATGCATCCAACACTAAACACTAGTATCTATCAGACACAACATAGTCTCTGCCGGTCTTCATGATACAGTGTCTTGTCTTTTGAGGTTGGCTAGGTCTGTTGTTATCCCATTGTCATGTCTTTGTCTGAATCATAGGTCACCATGTTCGGAAAAAAAGTGGACGAGTGTCTCTAGTATCAGGTCAGGAGCACATAAACATTCTGGATCGCTCTAATTTCTCAGTAAAGGGGTTTCTGTGCCCCCGAGCCATAGCCAGCCTGTTATGCAACAACCCCTGCTGCTCTGGGCAGCGCTTTCTCTCCTTTCTCAGTCTCCTCAGGTGTGATGTTACATGCACAACAAGGTCAGCCCATATATGTTGGCCCACATAGAAGTAACCCTCACTCAAGTCAGATGATTGATAGGAGTGGCTTTGTAGCAGCATCATTTGCAGTGATTGTGTTACCTGTCAGTGTAGGGGAGAAGCTCAGCGATAAGCCAATAATCCAGTATCCCCAGTATCTCACCTACTTTTAGTGACCTCTCCCTGTGTGATGGAAAATGTTTGGACAAAGGGGAAAAAAATGTGTCTTTTAATGATCAAATTGGCTCTCAGGTGTCACGTTACTGCCATCCTGCTGTGGTATTTCTGCTCTTATTGTTGCGTTTTCCAAGAAAAATCAAAACTCTGACCATTACTTTGGCAAGTTTGTGTCTCATCTAGAAGCACAGTCAGCACTTGATACTAAAAATGTTTCAGTTCTGCTGACTGGCCACTTCTCTAAAGAAAGACAGCAGCAAAACTACAGTGTCATTGGAAAATTGAGACTAGAGTGTTCTGCCCTAGTCTGTGGGACTGAAGCGACTCCAACATCTGTTCAGTGGTGTGTTTTATCTGCATGTTTTTGGCCTCCGTGCACACTTTGTCACATTTGCAAATGGCACCATTTAACTTAACAGTCAATTTAACATGGCCTCAAAGCCTCCAGCCACTATCACACCCACATTCCTCTCCAGTCTTCCAGTCAGTCCTGCATTGTGACCCAGTTTTTCCTCATCGACCACCTGATTGCACCACCAGAGAGGTTTGCTGTTCTCCGAATATCCTGGGCTGCACACTGACGCCTCTGCAACAGGTCAGCCTGCTCTGCGTACACTGCCTGTTAATTACAAGTGCTACTATTGTTAGCGTGTCAGTGGTCAGGGGGAACGCCTCTATTCATGGGGCTATTTTTAGCCATGAAGCTAAAGTACTGTACAGCTCTAGCAATGGGAGACCTGAATAGCCCTGACTCATACATCCATTGTCTCGTGACTCTCTGTGTAGAAGGCTTTGTCCCTCCCCATTCTACGCAAGCACCAATAAGTTCTGGTTTTCTCTTTTTGCAGTCTGAAATGGGTCTTCAGCGTGGATTTTTCTCTTCTTGCCTCTCTGCTATTTTTAATCCCTCAGCAGTAAATTTAGCTGTGATTGCGTAGATGCAGAAGGCTGCGGCGAATGAGCTGTCACGATGAGACCCATCCCACTCAGATTCAACTACAATGGGAATTCTCCCCTCAATATATGTAGACCTTCAAAATGTGCAAAGGGTCACATTTTACAAGAGTTCCCATGCAGATGGAAAGAAACTCAGAATAGGTAACTATTTTAAGTTGTAAATAACAATATTTTTGACTCAAGTAAAAAGGTCATAATTTTTGCAAGCACAAACTCGAAGTTGATCCAAGAAACGCAAGTTGCATAAAAGGCTAAAAACACGCTGAGTAAATACTTCAGCCGGCCAAGTGACATGCCAGGCCAATATCCAAACCCCGTGAGGTAACACATTGCTTCGTATGAGTTGGCTGTGGGCACGAGAGGCACGCACTATTCCTACAAACACGCTAAACCTGTCGTATCAGGAAATCATTGAGGCAAAACCAGTCGGGAAACTGTTGTTTGTTTGTTTATTTCATTCAACTTAACAAAATTCCATGAACTATGCACAATAAATATAATTCCTTAAATTAATAACATAAAAACATCAGTTAGTGGACAAGTCCAAACATTGCATTGCCCTTGAGATAATAATAACAATCAATTTGTGAAACTTTTTCCTTTTTGAGTTATCAAAGTGACAAGTCTTAAATACTATTAAATAAAATGTGCTGTTAAAAGAAATTCTTGGATGTGGTCAAATTTTCATGAGGAATTCTTCAAGCTGAGAGCCCTGACTGGTCCACTCCACTGTGGTCCAGCTGTTGGAGTCTTGTCAACTGAGGCTCTCTTTCTGCTTTTCTCCAGTCCTGCGCTTGTGCTCACCACCACGTGTGCTTGTCCGCTCACATGATTCAGTTTCCTGTAAAGGCGTCTATCTCGGCAGAGAAAGGCAATCCTGGAAATCATGGAACCAAGACTGCTGAGTCACTCTTCGTTGGCCCTCGAGTTCACCCTGACCTGGTAAATTTGTTGGAACGTTTCTCTTCCTTGTGCTCTTTTTTTTTTCTGCCCCTCCTCTCTCTGTCTCTCGGGCACTTTCCAAAGGAATCCAACACAGACATTAACACAGGCCTTGTGAAGTTACGTTTCCCCCAATGCACACAATACATTAATATTCCAAACAGTTTCATCGGTCGGGCAGGTTGATGACAGGCACCCATTGATCCAAACAGCGGCTGTCTCTGCAGAATCTGTTCACTTTGCTCAGTGCAGGGTCCTTCCACAGTGACGACTGAGGATTCTGCAGGAAGAGGGGACAAAGCAGTTACTATCTGCTGACGTATGAATGTGCAAACAGTGTGAGATCCTTCATCATCCTGATTGCACAACAGTTTCTTGCAAGTATGACAAAAGCCTTGGTAGTGTAAACCTGCCAAACCTCAGCAACAGCCGGAAAACTATTTTTTACAGTCTGAAGGGAAGTGAGCAATATACTGCAGCTCTATAGTAAACAGACATGAGTAATGATACTTACAGTAACTAGCACACAGTGCAGGTCCATAGGCTCCCCTCCAGGTTTCACTCCACCAAGGATTTCTGCCAGACGCCTCATGTTGCTCACCCGCAGGATGTTGATGTCATTCTCACAGCAGAATGCCTGGATTAAGGTGAAATGAATCTGCAGAGCCACATCCTCCTCATCGTCTGTGGCCAGCAGACACAACACCACATTGTCTGGATCCCTGAAAGAAACAAAGAGAAACAGTTGTAAGGAAAAGGAAACTGAGATGTCTCACACTTATACTGAATAGATTTACCAGAGCTGCAGCATTTATATTACTTTTAACTTACGCATTTAGTGACTTTGCTGCTTCATAGACTCCAACAGTGATGCAACCCTGAGGCAATGCAGAGCTCAGCACCTCCTCTAATGCTTTAGCCACCGATTCCATCCTGAGGAAACAATCATATCAACACATTTAGTCAAAAATCAAAGCTCTTAAAACACACAGCAACACGCTTAAATGCGACAGCTGACTGTTATTTTAGATTTTTAAGCTTATGTCAACCAGTGCATGCTATTCGTGTGAGGTGAGCGATAATCCAGTGATGTAACGTTGCAAGAGCCTTCCTGTATCAAACATATATAATGAACACGTAGCGTTAACGTTAGCTAAAACTGCTAACTAGCATAACTAAAGCTTGACGTTGACGTTAGCTGGACGTTGCACTTGTGTGGACGGACGATACAGTAGGAGCTAACAAGTTCAAACGAGTCTCAAGTAACGGTATGGAAAAAAAAAAAAAAAAACTCATCTGAAAGAGTAAAATAAAAACGTGTCCGGGTTAAAACATTTGCAAAGGTTGTTCCACTGAAGAGTCTTAAAAAAAAAAAACGGTAAAAAAAAAAAAAAAAAAGTTCACAACCTCAGCAAACGCACACAGTGCAAAGTAAAAAACAAAAACAAACAAAACAAAAGCTAACCTTTCTGAAGAATTATCTCCACTGTTTTCTTCAAAAGTCATATTGCACATCCGAGCGGCTTGGTGTCCCACAATATCCAGAGCGGAGACGGACTTGTTGTGTGTGCGCGTGTGTTTGCAAGGATGCAGAGATCGTGTGTGCCCGGTGACTTCTGTGTTTCCAGTAGTAAAAGCCTGTGTCCTCAGAACTGATTTGCATGAACTCGTCTCATTGGTCACATAGAAATACAATTCCCTCGTGTCTTTGTGAATATAGCGACACCCGGTGGTCGTGACCTCGCAACTACACTGCTGTTTTCATGTTTATGTTGCTCAGGGTCATGTCGAGCAGTAATTAGTCATCTCAGTGTTATGGCAAATTAGCCCATACAGAAATATAATATATGACATATATGTCCCTATATTAAAAGTGATGTTGCCTTATATGTCACCTATAAGGAGATATATTATATTCACATATATACATCCTCTGGATATATGAAGATTTAAGTTTATAACATATATGAAATACCCATAGTAAAATGTGTATGAGTACATATATTAAAGATACCTATATGATGAATATTTACATCGTATATGATATATTTACAATATATTCAACTTATATATACACGTTTATTAAAACAACATAAAAATTCTCTTTGTTTATAAATGTTTTTTTTCTTATCAGTTTCTCATTCATTTTAAACAAGTCGATCTTCCCATTCTGGGAAAGTGGTCTAAGACTTTCGGGAACCCATGGTATAGAATATCAATATATATATTGACTGGTTTTGGGATGGATATATATTTATGTAACATATGTTTACAATATAAGTATACATACATGAGGATACATGATTGTTGGGGCTAGACATATATGTAAACATATGAAATTTTTTCGATTTCGATTTAAAGACAGATTTTTGCTATTTTTTTTAAAAATAGCAATATTGTAAAGATCAAATTTACGCAAAACGAAATCAAAATTGAGGAACTAAAGTGAATATTTCTAAGGGCAAAGAAAAAGTAAATAGATGTGGAATGTGGGATATAAAAAACTGTATGCTGGTGGGACATGAGAATCCAACAAAAGGAGAACGTGGACATTTTAGAGGACAGGAAATAGAGGTTAATATACAGTGTACTGTAATGTAAAGTAAGGAGGAGAATGAAATAACTGAAGTTAGCAGAAGTTTTCAGGACAGACTTCGAAGACAGGAGGTGCTGCAGCTTGAGTGAACCTTTCATCTGACAGTAAAAACTGTGATGGAGAGCCTCTAGTGGAGGTGTAGTGAAAAAGTTTTTCACTACAAGAAACTACAGTTGTCACCACTGACTCGGAATCAGTTTCCTTATGCCCCTTTTCAGCAGCCCCTCGCCCTGTTCGCTGTAACAAGACCGACCGGAGACCAGCCGACTCTGAGTAACTGTGACCGTCCTCTACATCCTCCCCTACCGGCAACGTGGCAACACTCTAAGATGCGCCTTTTTCCTCATGCAAGCTACAATCCGATGACACGGATATTCATGTCGAAATGACACAGAGAATGCTGTCAGTAGTTTTGTTTTTCCTCTCTCATGTTTAGCCTGAAGATTGACGGGATTGCCTTGTGGGACTACAGCTGTCAAACTCCTCAGGGCGTGCTCCACTGTTTACTCTCAGCTCACTGAGAAGACACAGGCTGGGATACACAATGCAAACATAACGGAGATGAAGCATTATGCACAGAGACCCTGGTAGCTTTTTGTTTTCTAACTCACCCTCTTCTTTTTTTTTAGCACTGGTGTTTACGCAGCAACAACACCTGGTTATATGGGCCACAGTATTTCGTGAACTTTAGCCTCTTGTTATCATGCTGTCTTGTTATCAGCTCATGTTGTGACTTCCCAGTGAAATGATGTGGCAGTCGTGAATGTACTTTGACTGCAGCCAGCACGTGTGAGCTGTAAGTACCTCAACAGAATTTGCACAAATCTTTGTGTAGACTTATTTTGAAATAGGATTTCCTACAGACGGATTTGCAAACTTCTCAGGTGTGAAGGTGGGCCGGTCTTGTGTGGAGGGGTCATCATGGATCACAGAGGTCACCCCAGGCAGGACTCTGGCCGTCACTCCCACAGGACAAAAGACAGAGAGGACTACTACAGGTATTTTCAGCAGGACAGGGACCAGAGCTATCCACCGCCAGACCCCAGAGAGAGGGACAGACACTGGGCTCAACCTGATCCCAGCTACAGGGCTAACTTCACCAGTCCTCCGGCCAGACCGGAGCAGTATCCTTACAACTCCCACCAGTATCCCTATGGCCATGGGCGACCAGAACACCAAAGACCCCAGTCCAGGTGTGTATGATTAAACTTCTCTAAAAGCTGTGCGAGAGAGTTTTCTATTAATGATCTTACCAGGAATTATCTCACACCGATTTCCCTCATTATATGGATTGCGCCCAAAGTGACTACAGCTCAATATGAGGAAGACGTGAATAATAATTTGAGAGTACATCATCATGCAGTGCAAGACAAACACAAAAGATGTACCACTTTATTGTATGGTGTACTGATTTGGGAGCAGGGTAGTGGTGCAAAATCTCAGGCTCAAATACGTAATGCAGTGGGTTGAGTGCATGTGTGCCTTCCTGCTGCTGATACTCACCAGACACCTGTCACCATGAAATCTAGAAAATGTAGAAAGCCTTGTCATTGTAAGCTCTGCACACAACGAAATTAGGAGCTCTACATAAAAAAACATTAAAAAAAACACAAGACACAGATCATTACTGACTAAACTAAGGTAAATAATATAAAAACTATGTATGAAAACATTCATATATGTGTCAAGTTGTGTTACATCCGAGGAAAGGGAAAAGTGAACATTCTTAACTTCAATATAATCTTTAGACTTTAAATTCTGTAGATCCGTATTTGAGCACATTATGACATTATGTCTTCATCAGGATGGAAAGATTAACAGGTGAAGAAAGTGAACAAATGCACTGATGTAACTAGAGGCTCTTTATTTCCAGACATGGGTACGACTATCCACCCCACAGCCACTGGGACTACAGAGACAACTATGGTTATTATGACCATGACTACTACAGAGGACAGCATGGGCGACAAGGTACAGTTACACAAAAGATCTTTCATGAGCAACGTACTACACTCTCTTGGTAAAAAAAAAAAAAAAAGAAGTAAACTGTACTATATGTTAATCTTCACTTTAAGATGCCGGCCAGTGGGATCCCCAAGACTCATGGAGAACAGACCGATATCATGAGAGAAAATACAATCAGGAACATTCAGGGAGCTACTACGCAGAGGAGAACAGGTGAGGAGCAATACTACACTTGTATGAAAGTCGACCCTTTTACTTGGATTGAGACAGCTGAAACAATTACTTGGTTAATCTGTTGGTCAATCTATAAAAAAAATAGTTATTTTCAAAGAAAAGTGTCAAGAATTTTTGGCTTTCAGCTTCCCTAATGTGAGATGCTTTCCTTAGTCTTCTATGATAGTAAACTGAACATCTTTGAGTTTTGGACTGCTTGTTGCACAGTTCTTTTAAAATGAGTAAACTTGGTTTCTGTGAAATTGTGACCGTAAATCGAATATTAACCTGTAATCTTTTAAAAAATTCATTAGTTGCAGCCCCAATTGAAAGCAGTAAGATAATACATTTGGGAAAACTCCAAATGGAAATCAAATGGTGCCATTCACCAGTACTATAATTGTGTTTTTTTGATGGTTTGTTAATAATACTAATAATAATTTTGGAGCAATAATAACTTTATTTGTGTTGTACTTTGTACAAATTCTTTACTGAGATATGAAATGAAATCATAAAACACAAGGAAGACAAAAATAACCTAAAAAAGAAGAAGAAAACATACAATGGCCAAGTTACAATGGTAAAACCAAAGGAATATAATTTATTCACAAAAGATTTCTTTTAAAAGAATATTTTATAAAGTGATTTAAAAGATGTCAAAGATGTTCCAAAGTCTGGGGGCTTTAACTGCAGAGGCATAGGCACCCTTGATCACCAGCCGAGACATAGGAATAACCTGCAGAGTAGGACATGTGCACACAAGAAGAAAATAAATCAATAGAATTTTAAAATCAATGTGAAACCCAAAAGGGCCCCAGTTATTAGTCAGACAGCACTGATCTGCACCAGGCTGGAGCTGGTGGAAGGAGCTCTGACAGATACAGATACCGACAGAATAAAGTTTGTCACATTAGTCCAGGAGAGAAAAGCTAAAAGCACGTCTCCAGTTTAAGTAAACATGAAGAAGACAAAAAATGACTAGAGGTACTCTGATGAACTTTCTGTGAGAATTCTCTGTGTTTGATCAGACATAGATTATCAGACTATCATTTTATGTCTTTGTAGTTGTATTGTGTCTCGTTGTTGTCATATAGTGTCTCGTTGTTGTCATTTCTGTCTGACTTCCCAACATGAAATGTTAACATTCAACTCAGACAGACGTTCTGGTCCAGGAATCCTTAGAATAATGTGCATGTTTGCAGTAATACAAACTACCAAAATGGACATGTAGTTATATGAAAAAATAACTAATTATTCCTTTAATTCTTTCAGGTATGACCAAGGGAGAGACAACTCCCAGCATTACCTCAGTGACTATGAGGAAAATCCTTCCAGAGAAAATGAAGAGGTTTCCTCTTATTACCTTGGGACTCTAGAGAGTTCCAAAACCTCAGGGTTATCTTCCAGCAGCTATGAACTGAGTCAGTACATCAATGGAGCTGAACACAGTGACCCTGTCCCACAGCCTGGTGCAGGTGAGTCTGCAGTTGAAGCTGTTTTCTCTCAGGTTCACCTCACTCAGTGTTTATCACGACACATGTTCTTTTATGCATCATATCTCCTCAGAGCATGGAGCTGTGTCTCAGATGTCAGCGCCTCTGAAATACTCAATCCCTCATGCGGTGGTCAGCTTCGGACCTGCAGGCCAGCTGATTCGGGTCACCCCAGGCTTTTCAACACAGAAGAACGTCAGCCAGCTGGAAATCCACAGCCTGGAGGTGGGTTGACCTTTTTAGAATTTCTTGTTTTCAATTACCAGTGCTGCTTTCTTGAATAAGACAGATAAAGATTTTGTGTGTATGTCTGCACAGGTCATTCTGAGTGAGACACAAGAACAACAGGAGATGAGAAAATTCCCTGGTCCCCTAACTAGGTAACTTTTTCATCTGTGGTGTAATTCTGAAAATGCTCACCACAATCTTAACATTTTCTCCACAATCAGAATGTATTCTGCTGAGTTGTCATTAGTCTTGTCCAACTTATAAAGATTATATTTCAAATTCAATTTTGTATGAATTTGATTTTGTATGAATTTGGTTTGTCATATCTCTGAAGGGAAGATTTGCACAAAGTAGATGCCATAGAGTTTGCGCACCAGAAGGCAAGCGCCTGCTCGAGAGACGACAAGCTGCCTGATAAGAGCTCTGCTGCCCTCTTGTGGCATCTACTGATACTTCTCTGCAGGCAGAATGGAGTAAGAGCATCATGATTTGTCATCACATAACATCATGATCATGTTTATTCTGAAACAATTCTCACTGAATTTCCATTATTTCAGCAAATAGTTGGATCGGATATTGCTGAACTGCTGATGCAGGGCTCACATTCAGATGGAAGCTGGGAGTCAGAGGCTCCCACGCTCATTGACTTCAATGAGGGCGCGGTTGCTGAAGCACCACCTCAAAAAGGAGATGACCTGCTCACAGGGAACTGGAGCAGCTTCAGCTCTGAGACCTCAGAAAAGGCCCTGCAGAGCTACACTCAACTGCTGCTGGCTGGAAGAAAGAAGGTTTCTCTATCTCTCTAATCATGTAATGTTCTCTTTAGGTTCTCTTGGCTATCTCAGTGTTGCTCCGAATGGAAGATTATGAATTATTTTTACATCCTGATACAAGATGTAAACATGTGTTTGGATTGTTATCACCATATGATAAAACTGTGTTTTATTAGGCTGTGACTGACTCTCATCCAATCAAGATGCCTCAGACCAGGCTATAAAAATAAAAGAGGAGTCAGTGGTGCCAACTTTTATGACTGACTGGCATGATTTAAAAGCTATAACCACAGGTCAATATTTGAAAGGCCATCATAGATACAGTATTAGTCCAGTTGACAAAATTACTTCTGTGTTATACTAGTTGCCACTGATGTCATCCTGTGCTCAGCTCTGAGTGTTTTGTCCTCTCACTTTCCAGGAGGCTTTAGAGTCAGCTATGAGCAGCGGCCTGTGGGGGCATGCACTTTTTCTGGCCAGTAAAATGGACAACAGGTCTTACACCACTGTGCTGAACAGGTGAGAAAAGCAAAGTCATCTGAGACGTGACAGCTGCAAGAAATCATTATACAACTCTACGCACGAGCGGTAATTTGTGAAGAAATGCTCCCTCTGACTAAACATAGATGCAGCTTTAAACTTGTGTTACAGCCACAAGCAAGTATGGGCAGTATTTCTGTCACTTGTATCTGGAGCATGTCCTCAGCTTCCTGTGCCTAAGTTTTAGTCTTGTAAGTGACATGGCTCTGGGGACGGCAATCTGTTCAGACTTTTGATCCAGACACTTAAGTAAACTATTGGATAAGATTGCCATTACATTCTGTACAGACACTCATGGTCCCCAGAGGGTGAATTTTTTCAGACTCTGGTGATCACGGCTTTTTCTTTAGTGCCACCAGCAGGTCAGAGTATTCACTTATCCTGTGAAATGTCTCTACATCTATTGGATGGATTGGCAAAAAGTTGGTTAGTTAATTGTTTAGTGAAAAATAGCAAATATTAGCATGCTAACAGGCTAAACTAAGATGGTGACAATGGTGAATGTTGCATAGTATTGTCATAGTGAGCACGTTTGTCCGCTGACATTAGCATTTAACCTAAAGCACCACTGTGCCTGAGTACAGTCTGACAGAGCTGCTAGCATGGCTGTAACACGCTTAGCCTTGTTGTAGTTCTTTCCTCTAGATTAATGTCTGTGGTTTTCAGCGTAAAAAAAATCTCAACGGTTGTATTTTTTTACCGTGAAATTTGTAAGACAAAGTTTTAATCACATCGCAGAACTTTTGATCAAACAGCTGCAAAAATAATGACGTTCTAATCAACGTCAGCTGTTTTTCAGTTTAGTGCTAATTAGCAAATTTGAGCTAAAATGCTAAACTAAAATGGTGAATTTGGTAAACCCAATTATTTTCAGCATGGTATCGTTGTTATTGTGAGCATGCTATCATGCTGACGTTAGCATTTAGCTCAGAGCAGTGGTTTGCCTAACAGCAGCCTCAAAGAGCTGCTAGCATGGCTGTTTGTTCATTTGTGGAACAAATGTAGTATGGTCATGGCATTTTTTTTTTTTTTTTTTACAAAAATGTATTTGAAATCTGTTCTTGACATGTTTATGGGATTAACTGCACCCTCTGTCAATATTTTCCACAGCCCTGTGTCCAAAAATAGTGTGCTTTATTTAGAATTTGTAGAAAGTAGGGGAGAATAATTTGACATGGATTCATATTCGTAAACATTTTCAACAAAAAGAGAAAATTAGTTTTATATCTTTGCATAATTGTCATGGTTTTTGTTGATCAGTGTTTAGGAACTTAATTCTGATTTTGAATTACATGCACCTTGTTTGTCAGTGTTTATCTTGGCTTGTGAGTTATTTATAATTTGCTGTGGGTGATCTTATGACAGTACAGTAACAGAGACCATTAACGCTTTCCTTCAGAGTGTAAATCATCTGACTTGACATTTAGTAAGTTCAGTTAAAACACTTTACTCTCTGTGCACCAGCATCAGAGAAAGGAGAAATAGCTAAACCGCGGTTAATGTGAACTATTTATCATGGAACCCAATCCATTTTTACAGCCTATTTTGGCATCAGCAATATGTCCGACAGCCGCGCATGTTTCAGTAGAGGAATGTCTGGGGGAAGGCTGACAGATCGCCAGGCTGATTTTGATTTGTAATTGACAAGAGGGGTAGAATTTAAACTATAAGCATGGTACAGTATATCACTACTGTACAGAGTAGCAGTGGGGATGCTCTTTTAATGCCCCGTTTTAAGGACAGTGGTTCTGTTGCTAGCATGAAATAAAGCCTGTAATAAAGATGTGCAATGACACAAACTGTTCTATTGGCAGGTTTACAGGCCAGCTAACAGCCAGTGATCCCCTCCAGACTCTCTTCCAGCTGCTGTCTGGGAGAATCCCTGCTGTAGCCACGGTAAAACATGCAAAACATAATTTAAGCTCTCAAACAACCCATTTATTGCATTCTAAATCCTATGTCAGTGTATACCTCGTTAGCCGATAAAAGTTCTGAGAGTGATGTTTTGTGCCCAGTGCTGTGTAAATGAAAAATCGGGAGACTGGAAGCCCCATCTGGCCGTCATGCTCTCCAATGAGACGGGAGATCCCGCTGTTCATCAGAAGGCTATCATCACCATGGGAGACACACTCGGTATAGACACGCTGTTTGAGTGACTGATTGGTTGTAATGCTGTTTCTGCCCCGGCGTAAGAGCTGATTGTTTTGTGCTTCTCTTCCACGTGCAGCCTCCAGAGGCCTCATTCACGCCGCCCATATGTGCTACCTGACAGCCGGCGTTCCCTTTGGGCCGTTCACACAGAAGGCAGAGAGACTGGTGCTTCTAGGCAGCAGCCACAGGTGAGCTGTGCTTGCTCTTTAATGCTACTTATCAGTCTAATTGGTGTCCATCTAGTCATCATTTTGTAAGTAAAATGTAGGATCGAGTGGCAGCAATATAATTTTCAGCCATTTTTATAAAAGTTTACAATAAATCACTACTAGAAAGTTGATTTAATGTCTTCTCTCCTCTCTCCTTTTCTTTAGACAATCTTTTGAAGACTTTACAACAAACTCTGCCATCCAGTGCACTGAGTTGTATGAATACTGCCAGACACTTGGGGGCAAAGGTTTTTCAATACCAGCCTTTCAGGTAGCCCATCAGATCTTACTGCCTTCTATGTATTTCTCATTTGCCTAAGGTATTTGTGTCTTTCAGGTAAAGAAATATAATTTTAAAATGTATGTGATGCTGAATATCACTGTGTCGTGGTCAGGTGTATAAGTTCCTATATGCCTGTCGACTGTTGGACTGTGGGCTCCCATCTCAGGCCTTCCATTACTGTGAGGTGGTAGGACAGGCGATCCTCAGACAGAGGGAGCCTTTCTTTGTGCTGACTGGCGAGGTTATTAAGGTATGTCTTAGACATTTGAGTACTCTAATCAAAGTGATTCAGTGTCTGTTAAGGTCTACATGGTTGTATGTTTTCTCCTGCAGCTGGCAGACAGACTGAGACACTCCGAGGGTCAGTTCGTTAGTGAAGCAGGTGTTAGTGGAGCCGTGCAGGAACCCGAATGGCTGAAACAACTGCGTGCTAGGCTCCACAGTTTCCAGGTGATCAGCTTTTCCACTCCTTTCATTTCACACAATGTTTACCCTCTGTCTGAGAGGAGAAGCGTCTGGCCGCAGTGCTGCAACAGAAAAATGTCTGATGTGGAGGAAAAATAGGAAAATGAGACATCATTTTTTGGTTTTAGCTGATCAGTAATTCAGTTTTAACATTAATCACAAGCTGTTAGATACCAGTTGCTACCAGAAGCAGAAGTGAGTAGTGATTTTATTGTAGGATGCAAAGCTGCTTTATTCCATTCACATCGCACATCAGTCCTTGAATTGGGCCAGTACCCTCTGGGCCGGTACCCAGTCAGGGCATGTTAGATTTGAGTACAAAAGAGTACTGCAACTTATTATTCAGTGCCCACACTTTTAATAAATGCAGGTGCTCATGATGTAGTTTTTAGCAAGTGCAAAGTAGGTCAGTTTTCTGTCATGAGAAGAGGCAAAAATGTGCAGCTGTGTGAGGCACTATTTGCAGTAGATAAGACCACAGATTCAAATTCTCTGTACCTAGATCTGTGCAGAGCACAGTCTGTATGGCTGTACTGTATAGGATTTACTATTAGTATTTCATGTGACGACTTAGTAATTTGTGCCCTCAGACTAATAATTGTTGCCCTTGACTGCTGTCCCCAAATGCTGGATGGGCATGGTTAGCGTTGGAACCTTTTTAATCCAATTACAGGTTACATTGTTGTTCATTTTCTTTATGAAATTCGATTTTGCTTCCACATGGCTTTTTCCGTGCAGCAAAACATCTTTTAGCCAGGCTAGCAGTGACGGTCTGGGCTAACACTTTGGTCCGCACTCAAATACTGTATATCAACAACTACTTTACAGATCGCCATGAAATATTGTACAGAAATCCATGATGATGATGAATCATACACATGATGAAGCATAGTGACTTTTCCTCTAATGCCACAAAAAGGTAACAATAGTAATAATAATTTATGGTTTTGTGTGGCGTGTCTCAACAACCACTGGATGAATTTCCATTAAATTTACAGTCATGTCCCCCACAGGATGAATTACACATTTTGGTGATCAATTTACTTTTCATCTAATGCCATCGTCAGATCAAATTCTCATTTGTCCACTGGTTTGGTTTATGATCAAATACCTTATCAATACCAAATGACTTTCTCATCAGCTAAAGTGGAATGTGTTAAGCTGCTAACAAAATTAAACTAATATGGTTGACATGGTAATTACACCACCTAAACATCGGCATGTTGTTATTGTTATTGTCAGTATGTTAGCATGCTGACGTTAGCATGCTGTGTTTCAGTATAGCGTCACTAAGTGCACTAAGTCTTGTTTAGACACTAAAACTACTGTAAATGTCTAAACTTGTTCTTCTGCTCAGACGGGGAGTTACGACTGTACTGAAACACACCAACCAGTTCCTGAGGGACGCGCTTTTGCACATGAGGATAACAACGTGTACTCAGGTAATTTTAGTCACCTCATTACTTAGAATGATCTACTGTGTTTCCCACTAAAGAACAGTGTCTTCTTTCTTGTGCATCTGCTAATGAAGAATACCAAGGAAAAATACTTATTACTTGTGTTTCTTTCTTTTTACCTACAGAATCTGGCTTGGATGACCAGAACTGTGACCTCCAGAGTCCTGAGCCTGAGCTCCTTTATTACAGAGGCAGCGAGGATCAAGAAAGCCTTGTGCATCAAACCGAAGGAAACACTGAGCAAATGGCAGAGTTATCATGGGATGTCAGAGGAGCTCCGAACTGGTATAAAATGTGCAGCGCCATGCCTCTGTCCACTCATGTCAACCTCATAGATGAAAACTCTTACTACACTTATCATGATCTTACCCTCTGTGTTACTCCCTGTTTTGACTCTGTGTTAATTATATCCTGTTTTATTTTGAAATTGCGCAACCTTATGTGTCTATAGTTTTTTTTACTTCCTGCCCTTGTGCGTTTCCCGCTTTTGACCTTGCCTGCTCCGCGTAAATTACTTTCACCTGTTCCTAATTATCCTTGCCTTCCTTGTGTATTTAGTCTGTGCGCTTCTGTTACTGGAACGTTCCCTTGTGGTCCTCGTGCTCTTGTTGTTTGTTCCTCTGTGCCTGCCTGCCTGCCTTGCAAGTCATCTGCCTGGTTATCCACCTCCTACCTGTAAGCCGTACTACGAAGCAGGATTTGAGGTCAGCGAGGTAACTTCAGGTTGAACTGTTTTCAGGGTTACCTAGGGAAATCACCATGGCGACCGATGCTGAACTCCTAACCTGCTTCATTACCGGTTAACTTCAGACCAATCAGGTCCCTGGAAAAAGTCATCATTCCTACAGGATCCCGACGGGAACAAAAGAGTTTTCCATAAAGTGACAAATACATCACACCTTGTTGAATAATTAATAATGTAAACGGGTTTCACAGTTTCTTCTCAAATCTTTAATTGAAAATGAAGTACTTAATTGATGTTTCTGACAACGCTGCTTAACAACCTCGCCTCTTTCACATGAACACACTCGTCGCCGGATAGGAAAACCCAGGGTTCACTGAGCCAGTTGATAACCAGCTTCGTAGTTCAGGTTATCAAGGACGGCCAATGTTAGGTTCAGTTAAGCTGGATAACGAAAAAGATATCCCGGGTATGTTGATCCCGCTTCGTAGCACAGGCTTCTGGTTTCTCTTTATTAAAGGATCTCACCTACACCAGCCTGCCTCTGTGTGTCTGCTTTTGGGTCCTTTCCCATGTATCTGGCTTCAGCCATGACAACACACGTGATATCCTGTCCTAAAAGACTCCTTGTTATATCACCGTCCTCTCCCTGTTGCTCTGTTTAGGCCACTCGCCAACCCTCCGATTCCAGTAACCGTAGTTTATGCTCCCCCAGCACCCGCAGCAGCCCCGAGCCAAGACTTAAGTTATCATAACACAGATAGTACTGAAGTCAGAACTGCCTCACCACATTGTCCTCTGAGTGATCTGCCATCAGCAGCAGAGGGTGAGGCTCTAATGATAGAGAGCATTCATTCCTTACTCTATTCAGATATTTACTATGGGCTTCGGCTTGTGTGATATTTTTATTTCACTGCTCCTACAGGGGCTGGGTCGTTTTCTGGACCAGGCCTGGTGAGTAATGTTTCATTCATCATCTCTTCCTCTGGGTTTATTTATATTGCTAAAATGTAAACCTTTGCTAAGAATTTCAATGTTCTATCACTGTGTCTTTCAAGATTTTAACTTCTTTAAGTGTGCAGAGCATTGAGAAGTTACCTGTTGGTGTGTATTTGCCTTTGAAGATGGGCGGTCAGATCCTGGAGGTCGACATCCGCCACCAGGGACACGGCCAGCAGAGCATACCACAAGGTTTAGAGCCCTCTGAGCAGATGAACACATCTCCTAAGCAGGTGGGTGGATCCCCTGTTATACTGACATCTGGTTAAGCCACATTAGAGTCATTTGATATCAGTCACTTCAACTGTGTTACATGCAGAGCACCAAGGGGGGGTGGTTCAGTGGCTGGTTCACGTCAAAACCCAAAGATCTCCAAAAGGAGACTTCGGAGCAGGGAGGCCCAGCTCAGACAGTAAGAGTCAAGTTAATTTACGTTACACAATCAGTTATAATCAAAGTTTTCAATTCAGTGATGTAAGATCTATATTTTCGAACATTTTCTTAGGCGCTACCGCCCACAGCTTGATCCCAGCAGCCCTCCTCTGCAGGGATCAATCCCTTTTCAAGGAAAGCCGGTGAGTTCTGTGATAATATACACAATATTGATTATATATTTGAATACATTTAAACTACACATCTTTAATGTATTGCTCAACTTTCTTTTTATGTTATGTTGGATTTCTGAGGTCATTGACCCTTCTAGAGAAACCATGTCCCTTCTGTGTTTCTGACTTAAACATTTTTAACATTTTCTTTTTAGTATTGTAACTGAACACATTGCAGTTGCCCGGCTGCCAGTGATGACATTTTACTTATATTAAACCATGCCAATGTGATGGCTTCCTGTTAATCTCTCCAACACATAGGCCAGCAGCTGGGGTATAGGAACTTTGCACATACCACTGTCCTACATCACAGGTAAATTAAGTTTCACTGAGAAACAGATTTGCACCATATTAAAGATCTTTAAAGGATATACATTAAATACCTTTTAAATCTTTTACATGTTTACAGGATCACTGACACCACTAAAACCAAATAAGAGGACCTCACACCTTAACAGTGCCTATATGTCTAATGAGAGCTTTACCCGAGCTTGAAGGAGATCCATACCACTCACCAGTGCCCTTTGAAACCCCCACAGCTTGCCCACCGTCATGTTGCATGTTAGATACAGAAATACTCTTGATGGACTGACACAGTAACTCATATTGCAGTGACTGAAACAGCTGAGGTGGACTTTCGTAAAGGCTGACAGCAGGGAAATTGTCGGTGGATGCAGGACATGTGGAGGGAGAGAGATATCTTAACTTGAACCTGGAACATCAATGCCAGAAAGACTGAGGGAAGCTGCACAAAAAAGTTTGGAATAGTTGGTGTAACTGTAACCACCAATGTATCTGCCCACTGAGTATCAGTGTCATCAGACTCTCACAGCTCAGATCATTACTAAATGATTATCCATGCTATATGCTGCAAGACAGTATGCATGTGCTAAATTTAGCTACTGTTCAAGAGTATCCATCAATCCTATCGTATCATCTTTTTATGATAAAATATCTATGCTCTTAAACACAATTAACCAACATATCAAAAATGCATTAATTGAAATGTAATCCAATGCCGTGGTCATTCGATAGCTTCACAGACGCCAGCTTTAATCTTCCAAGCTGAGTGAGGAGAAAGCGCATAGCCAGACTTAATGATATCACAATGTGAGCAACATTTCATTATTTTTTATAATTTTTTTACAATGTGTAAAAATGGAATAGTTTTAGTTAAAATGTGTTCTCATGTTGTCATGCTGCCGAGTTGGACGATACCACTTGGTTGCGGGGGGAAGGGGAAATTGGGAAGACCCCCGTCAGGCAAACAGCCAACATGCATAACGCCCTCAGCCAGCACACATGTACAGGATCAAACTGTTAAATATAAACCTTCTTTGTACAGTACCTGTTTATGTGCTCACGGTATTTGCACTGCCTTCATGTTAGAAAGGGACTCAGTAATAGCCCTGTTATATAAATAACTGTGGGAACAAAGCCAGTGGAGGCTCTTTAAAATGAATATACATCACATAGTAATATATACTCGTGGAATACATTTTAGAACAATGTTTTTTTTTATCACTTTGTCACCTTGTAAACATGTAACAAATTTATTCTTTTTTACATCTGTCATATGGCTTTGTGTTTTATGTATTACAGTATATATGTGAAAGCTTTTTTGTACTTCTGTACCAGCACCTGAAATGTATTAATTTCTAGTACATCTGTGGAATTCTGCCCCAGAGTAATTTCTCAGTATTGTAAAGTGTTAAAAGCTCAGCACAGTCTTCTGTTGTTTGTTTGTTTGTTTGACATACCATTCTGGCAGTGGGCAAAGTAAAAGTCACATCCTGAATAAATTCATCTTGCCAAGAAATAGCTGGCGCTCCCAGCAGGGCCTCTCACTTAGTATAGAGCGAGTGACAACATGGCAGGTGCCGTCTCCTTTTACGATTAGTCTGCATTAGTAGCCAAGTGTGAGTGGGACACACTGGCAAGAGTATCCACCACGATGTGTCACCACTTCATGTCAGAGCATATAGCTTTAAGTAGTGGCCTTCAACACATCTCCCCAAAGAGAGACCTTCTCTTTATTTTTTGGAAAAAATTACTTAGCAAGACGTTTTTTAAAAATTTGTAAAAAAGAAAAAAGAAAAGTTTAGTTTCATGAATTTGTTGTTTCCTGGTTTTAAATGATTCTTAAGTAAAACAGAAATTGCCCTTGTGATGTTCTGATTACCATTTTGGTAGAAAATTTTTATTGAGATTCACCTTCACAGTAAAAATTTTTTAACACTACAGGTTTACAAAGTTGGTTCACTTTTATCAACTCATACAAACTGAACATTCGTCTGTGTGTGGCAGTATTATTGAAAAGAATCACAGTTTTAACACCTGACATAACATGCATAGTGAATTTAAGAGATTTGATCTACCATACATCTTAAATACTTTTAGTTTACTTAGAAAATAAGAGCACAATCGGTGCATTGTAACATACAGATACTTTACATCATGGTAAATTGTGTATCATTCTCACATTTTTATTGCATATAAAAACTTTGCTGTGTCCGATACAAATTAAACATAAGACCAAAACTATAAAACCATTTTTCAAACAAAACTTCCAGCTCTGAAATAGCTGTATTATCAAACACCTGGTGCATTTTACTCATACCAAAAGACATCATGACAGTGAGTACAAAATTACTACTGTAACTTCACAGAACAATGTCTCCTGGCAAAAAAAAAAGCAATGGCTGACCAATTGGCTGGCTTCCCTGAACCTTTAAAAACTCCTCTGGTCTATGAATGCAATCACAGTAATGTATCAGGGACCATGCCCCCCCCCTTCCCCCAGCCACCAACACCGCCCACAATCGACTCAACGACAGGAAAAAAAGAAAAAATGGTGGACATGGTAGGCATTGATGGACTGACAGCATTAAGCTGTCCCTCCGTATGTCAAGACAAAACAATGTACCAGCTGCCCGTCATATAAACTTGTTATGAAAGCTGTCATCTACTGTATGTTTGGGTGATGTCACTGATACTAAATTTGGGTCTTTGTACCTATAAATTCAGGGTGCAAAAGTGTTGGGCCCTCTGAAATGCCATGCAAGCACAATCCCTGCTTAAATTGATTCAGTGTGTCCCGCCTCGACCGCTAGATTCAGAATGACCCAGGCACGCTACATCATTGGTAGCCATTCATTATATTATATACTCAGTCTGCAGTTTATTAGGTACACCTAGCTAGAACTAATGCAGTCTAATACAACAGTCCTGCAATAAAGCTTCAGTTTGTGTTTTAGATACAGTTTGTGGTGCTGTTGAATTGTATTGAGTTATACAGACAGGCGTCTCTATTATTTTGCCCACTCCATTTATATCAATGGGAGAAGGCTAAACACACTTCTCTGTATAATGCGATACAGTTCAACAGATCCACAAATTACACCCTTCAAAATGATCATACAGTTGAATCAGCACCTCTTTTTTTTAAAAAAACAATGTCAATATAAACTAAACATTATAACCACAGCAGATTTGACTGCATTAGTCTTAGCTGTGTGTTCCTCCTAAACTGCCAACTGAGTGTATGTTGTCACTTTAAAAGGGTCTAATGCTCTTGTGACCACTGTCATTTTACACTGTGAAGGCTGTCAGCTCAAGTGTCAGTGGTGTGCTGGTGGCAATTTTTATCCTATAACATTCCCATGGGAACCAAGCACTGTGGGGAGAGAGGGTGTGTGACTTATACATTTAAAAACTCATGACGCACAATTCTTACAAATAATAACCTTGACAGAAAATACACTGGTGCCCAATGACCTTGAATGAATCTCATTAATATTAACATGAATTAAATATAATACCAATTAATTTAGATTTACAGTTGGAAATTGAGTCTGCACGCTGCTGGACGTGTACAGTACCTGTCGTAAAAACAGACTCAGACATTTTTGTCCCTGTGGTTCAGCATGTGCTGCGCAAGCTTTGCAGCACACTGGAAAGATTTGTCACATTCCACACAGACAAAGATCCTCCCGGCACAGGTTTGTTCCTGGTGTAGCTTCAGTGTTGCTAGGTGGCTGAAGTTCTTGCTGCAGCCCGTGCAGCTGTGGGGTTTCTTTTTATTGTGGACATACTGGTGACGAACGAGGCGAGAAGCCATGGCAAAGGCCACGCCGCACTCTGTGCACTTATAGGGCCGTGCTCCGCTGTGAATGGCCTCGTGCTCGGCCAGATTGGAGGATTTTGTGAAACACTTGGAGCACACCGAGCAGACATACGGACGCACTCCTGTGTGGATCTTCTGGTGCTCTGCCATGCGACTGGGCAGAGCAAACGCCTTCCCACAGTCGGGGCAGGAGAAGGGCCTCTCTCCCAGGTGCTTACGCTCGTGACGCTTCAGGGAGAGGGGTTTATTGAAGGTCTTGCCACAGTGCGTGCATGGAAAGGGCTTGTCATTGGTGTGCATGTTCCGCTCATGCTTCCTCAGGTCAGAGGAGCGAATGAAATCCTTACCACAAGTGTCACAGACGTAGGGCTTCTCACCAGTATGTGTGCGGATATGCTTGCGGTAATCTGAAGACCAGATATAGGTCTTGACACAGAAGGGGCAGTGATATGGTCTTTCGCCAGTGTGTAGACGCTTGTGTTGCTGCAGCGTGCCCTGATGGGAGTAAGACTTGCCACATATATCGCACACATGTGGCTTGAGGCCACTGTGCGTTTGTAAGTGACTCTGCAGGTTGCACAACTTCTTAAAAGCCCAGTCGCAGTGTGTGCACTTGAAGGGACGGTGCTCTGTGTCAACCCCACTACGCTTTTTCATTGTTTCCAAAAGTCGAGGGATCTTGTCATTGTCATGCTTTTTAAGTGATTTCTTAACAGAAGGACTATTCACGTTTTTCTTTTTGGTCTTGTTCCTACCTCCACCTGGAGAATATTCCTCCACATTTAGCTCTTTGAGTTTAGATGCCTCAACCTGTTTGGTTGAGGCATCCCTTTGCACTTGGCGGCTCTTGAGGTATTTAGAGCAATTCTTTTCAGCAGCATCCGCCGAGAGCGCTTCATTACATCCATGTATTTTATTGTTCTCTGGATATTTAGTACATTGTGACAAAGCTCGACCACTGTGGTCTTGGTCATCACAGACTCCCATTTCTTCTCTCGGAGTGAGCTCAGCGAACTTCTCCACGAGAGACCAGTTTGGTGTTTGAGGGTTCAGATAAAGGATCCCAGCATCACTACTCTCTGAAAGCAAGTTCACATCTACACAAATACCATCAAATGAGGGGTCAGTGTTCACAGCATGAGTGTTGCTTACAAACTGTCCATCCGGGAGAGAATGAGTGCCACAGTGTCTTTCTTGAAGCTTCCCTTTATTTCCTTTTTCATCAGCCATCCCGCTGGACATTTCTTCAGCCACGGTCACTTCTAAGGTGGGGCATGAGATCGTCTGCATGTGTTTCAAGCTGCTCATGGATTTCCTGACGCAATTCTTCTTGAAATGTCTTGAAAAATAAAATACACACAACATCTTTTTAGCATCCTCTTGACTGTTTAGTGAGTTTAATCACACCATCCATTTTTTATACATCTTAATATATATTATCAGGATTTGTTCAAATAAAATAACTTTTATTCTATAGATAACTGATACACTGACACACACAGTCATTGCATATACTTTGCTGCAATCACCAGTCCTACACAACACATTTCCTGACACCTTGCAGGCATATGACACCTGAAATCTTAAACGTGTTTCTCCAGAGGTCTTGCTAATCTTCCCAAAAAAAATGAAACGCAGAGAAGTTGAAGAACAAAAAACATATACAAGCACTTACCCTGTGGTCTCTTTCCGTGCAGGTCGAGTCCAGGAGATGCCACAGAGACATTCTAGCCCCGGCTCTGGTATATCTCTAAAGGGAGATGTCCAGTGGTGTTAACGGGCGGGGTTTGGCAGCAGCCGTCTCTGGGTCAGCATCTATCCTGCTAGTCAGCAACAGCGATGATTTCTTCACAGCCTGGCTCAGCTTACCCTCCACTGACTTAGCTTACCGCCTGTTTGTGTAAGTCTTAAGCTATACAGTTGGTGTCAGAGACTTACATGTTCAAATTCCCGTAACTTTGAGGTCATTTACGGGGAGGGGGGAGGGAGGGGGGCGCTTTATGAAACCAACCTATGACTTATGAGATCACACACGTGCGTTAATGATCTCAGCCAATTAAAACAAATGACAGAACTCTCCCTCACAGTATGTAGACTAACTAACCTACATTACAAAAGCATTGCTTTAATTGGGAGTCAGATGAAACTGTCTGCTTTTTTTCTGTGAGCAAAACAAACGTTTTCTAAAGAATGAATTCAAATGAATGTTTCCGATTAATGCAAAACTCCAGCAACTTTCATTTCTATTTTAAGTTATTGAGTATTTCTTTACAATGCCCACAAGATGTCGCTGTGCACTAGTTTAATTTAACCGACTGTGGAAAATCACCCACTCCGTTAAAAAATCCCAACCTCATCAGGAAACTTAGAATATATCTGATTGACATGTGTGTTGCTTAACACTGTGTTTTCAATTTAATATTTGAAACAGAAAACAAGTTTGGTGGCTTCCTTTTTCTCTTTCCATGGCAGCAGTTGTTGTAATTTGCTCTATTTTCTGAGTCCTTTCTGCTGAAAACAATCAAAGTGGGGAATGTCTTTTATTTGGTGTGAATAATTTTGAGGACACCATGTACAGCTGTTCTTCTTCTTCTTGGGTAAATAAGTTGCACTTCATTTGTTTGGTCAGTAGATGACCTGGCAGATCTAGCATCTATGAGATACACCTCTAGGTCAAAACTGAACTTGCACATACATGGCATGCATATACATACAGACAGTATACACATACACACACACACACACACACACACACACACATATATATATATATATATATATATATGCAGTATATGGGGATAGACACCCTTTACTAATCCTGTGTATTTATTTTGCAAGCGTGAAACTAAGTTATGTAAACATAATTGCGTAAACACAAATTTAATGAATTGAGCAAACATAAGTTTAGTAATATGTGGACCACTGAATTTTGGAAAAAAGTTGGGTATATATTGTTTCCACTGTTATATTCGCATACTATACACATACTATACCCCACTTATTTTTTAGTTATACTGCTAGTTATACTAGACATGTCTTCATCAGTTTTCTCATAAAATTCACCTCCCAAAATCAATGGCCTACAGTCTCCTGCCTTAACAGTGACCCCTCCCCTCTACACTGTAGAGACAGACAGGGTTTGAGCAGCCTGAATGTATTAGGTAATTGAAAGGTTCTCGTGAGACTGATCCTGTAATTAAATGGACAGTGCTGGTCTGCACTCCATGCGTTTTCCCAGGAGAGCAGACTGAAATTGGACACTGAACAAATCACCTTTACAAAGCTGTGTTTTAAACTTAGATGTACTTTTTTCATGTGCTCACATCAAGTTTTGGTGTTTGTGGAGTTTCTCTTCTTTGCAGTTTCCACCACATATACAGTACATGTATAATATATAATATATAACTCAGTTTAGGAATCTGTCATGCGAATAAATAAAGTGTATGACATGACCTCTGGAACTCAGGGAAAAACTGATTGTGAACATTATGACTGGCAACTCCATTCTTTCTGATTTTATCTGCTGTAGTTATATAACTGTATCACCGTGCATATGTAGCCTATATGTTGCACAACACAGTTTGCAAGGAGTTTCAACTCAATTTGAAGTTATGACTTAAGAAAATCAAATATTTGTTTCCAAAAGTAAACATTAAGTTCCACATTTTAAGCTTCCAAACGTGAACGTGTTTTTACACAAATCATTTCAAGTGAATCCTTTAACGTGATCCAAACCTAGAGCTGCTCAGAGTGAGTTGAAACGTTCATGACTCCGTGCCTTTGTGTTTGTCAACTGGAAGCTGTCACAACAAAGCTGCGGTGGATGTTACGTAAGTGGTTTTCGTGGTGACGTTACAATTGAACTCTGATGCCGAAGCTGTACTAACAACTAGCTTAAGGAGCATCACCCAGGAAGTGCCTGTTGGGATTAAAAAGACTGTGGTTTGTTAGTGTAATGGGTGTTTGTGTTCCTTCCAGACCCCTAGTCAGGAAAGTTGTTTTTCCCTCATGACTGCCTCAAAGAAAGAAGACATGTGCATCCTTCCTCACACTCAACTTGAGAAGTCTGAGCTTCATTTGAATGCTGTTCATTCATTTAAAATCTTTATTTTACACCAATACTGCATTTCTATGCATCCTGGAAAAAAATGAATGAATATTTCATTGATTTATACTTAACCCACCGGCACACTGCACAGAAAAAAGTGCAGAGTCATTCTGGGGGTGGGTCTTGAATTTCATGGTGGAGCCTTAATTGAGAACATACCCGATCTTGGAATTTTCCACAGAACTACATTTTCTGGCAGTGGAAATGGTTGGATTCGCTTCGCAATGCATCCAGTTGCATAATTGTACCCTACAGAACATCGACCCATGTTGTACCTCTCAGTGCAGACTTGATGTATTTATGCTTCTTCTCATCACTATGAGGATTTGTCTTTTTTTGGCCAATGCTTCTTGAAAAAAAACCCCAATATATTTTGTTTTTAATTACTGAACAAAATAAAATTGCACACTATTTACTTTATATAATTACAATTAATTAATTATAATTATTTAATTAAAACTAACAATGCAGCAGAACTGATTACTTTTATGTTTTGTCTCAAAATAGTGGAAGAGAAAGTTTTATATATATTAAAAAAAAAAAAAGTCCCAATAAAGGAAAATGTTGTATTTTGCACAGTACAATGACAGTGAAGCTTTTGAAGGAAAAACTAATCGCGATGTTGTTCGTCCGATCTCACAGAAAAAGTGAGTATTGTTTGCCTTCACAATGAGATGGGAGTACTGGGACGGGATCACTTTAGAAGGACAGTGTTTGTTTACACAGGGTGTTGAACTGGGGCTCCAAGTTGATGATCAGTTTCCATCTTCACCTTGCTGCGCTTTCATTTTTGTCATAAATCATTACAACTGTGGAAGCGAGTTAAAGGAATGATGGGACTCTGAGCTTTTACATTTCCCAACGTGCACCATCATTGCCAGTAGAATTCCTGCCTTCTTTGTTCTCAGTCTTTGGACTGGTTGTATTTAAAATTATTATCACACACATGATAATAGCACATTATCACACCTTCTTTCTCATTCAACACTTTATTTTATTTTTTTACTCTTTATAAACCAGCTAATTATTTGTCGTTGGTTAAGGGCATGACTGAGCTTGCCCAAGTCTGAGCCGCTTTTGAAATGAAGTGTCATTAAAAGTTTACAGTCAAATGCGAGAGCACTTATAACTAATCCAATTTGTGGGACAAGGGTATTCTCTAATAGCAGATAAGATTGTTAACTGCAAGTACTCAAACTTAGATTCCGCTGTTGTTTCGTGTTAGTCCACATATACGCATTCATTTAAAAACAACTTATAGGGTAACCAACTAGCTGTACCTTTAAAGGTGCAGTCCCTCATATAGTGTCCAACAGACCCCCTCCATATTTCCACCCAGCTGACTCTCAGTGTTTTGAAACTCAATATAGTTGGGTGAGTTTCCAAACACGTGATCCAGGAAGAAATTTTGAGATTTGAGCTTTCTTTTCAAGAGTCACCCAAGGGCATTAGAACAGGTCAGCTTAGTTTAGCAGGGAGAACCAGCTAGCCTGACTCTGTCTCAAGGTAAAAAACCCCCAAAAAACCAAACACTTATCAACACCTCTAA